ACTAAGGCACTGAGGGTCACTAAGGTCTTACTCAGAACCACTGAGGGTCACTAAGGTCTTACTCAGAACCACTGAGGGTCACTAAGGTCTTACTTAGAACCACTGAGGGCAAGGGCGTAGGAATATGTTTACAATTGGGGGGGACACATGTCGGAAATCTGAGATTCGTAAATATTCAACAGAAACATATCTTAAGTACGCTACTTTAAAAAAAAGGCTATTTAATCTTTTACTTTATTCCTTTATAAATGTGTTTGTAAAAATAATGCATTTAAAATTAACATAATGCATTTGTTCATAAGATGCGAGCATATCACCAAACAAAATAACTGGAGTCTTTTATTAAGCAAAGGGAGATGTCTTTCAAGGGCTTCAGCCCTTGGCATATTTAGTGTCCGCATACGCACTAGAAAATCAAAACAATTCAGTAGGCCACACAAGTGCAAAGTTTGATACACTATATTGCCAAAAGTATTTGCTCACCTGCCTTGACTCACATATGAGCTTAAGTGACATCCCGTTCCTAATCCATAGGGTTCAATATGACGTCGGTCCACCCTTTGCAGCTAGAACAGCTTCAACTCTTCTGGGAAGGCTGTCCACAAGGTTTAGGAGTGTGTTTATGGGAATTTTTGACCATTCTTCCAGAAGCGCATTTGTGAGGTTGCACACTGATGTTGGACGAGAAGGCCTGGCTCTCAGTCTCCGCTCTAATTCATCCCAAAGGTGTTCTATCGGGTTGAGGTCAGGACTCTGTGCAGGCCAGTCAAGTTCATCCACACCAGACTCTGTCATCCATGTCTTTATGGACCTTGCTTTGTGCACTGGTGCACAGTCATGTTGGAAGAGGAAGGGGCCAGCTCCAAACTGTTCCCACAAAGTTGGGAGCATGGAATTGTCCAAAATGTCTTGGGATGCTGAAGCATTCAGAGTTCCTTTCACTGGAACTAAGGGGCCAAGCCCAGCTCCTGAAAAACAACCCCACACCATAACCCCCCCTCCAACAAACTTTACACTTGGCACAATGCAGTCAGACAAGTACCGTTCTCCTGGCAACCGCCAAACCCAGACCCGTCCATCAGATTGCCAGATGGAGAAGCGCGATTCGTCACTCCAGAGAACGCGTCTCCACTGCTCTAGAGTCCAGTGGCGGCGTGCTTTACACCACCGCATCCGACGCTTTGCATTGCACTTGGTGATGTATGGCTTGGATGCAGCTGCTCGACCATGGAAACCCATTCCATGAAGCTCTCTGCGCACTGTTCTTGAGCTAATCTGAAGGCCACATGAAGTTTGGAGGTCTGTAGTGATTGACTCTGCAGAAAGTTGGCGACCTCTTCGCACTATGCGCGTCAGCATCCGCTGACCCCGCTCCGTCAGTTTACGTGGCCTACCACTTCGTGGCTGAGTTGCTGTCGTTCCCAAACACTTCCATTTTCTTATAATACAGCTGACAGTTGACTGTGGAATATTTAGGAGCGAGGAAATTTCACGACTGGATTTGTTGCACAGGTGGCATCCTATCACAGTTCCACGCTGGAATTCACTGAGCTCCTGAGAGCGACCCATTCTTTCACAAATGTTTGTAAAAACAGTCTGCATGCCTAGGTGCTTGAATTTATACACCTGTGGCCATGGAAGTGATTGGAACACCTGATTCCAATAATTTGGATGGGTGAGCAAATACTTTTGGCAATATAGTGTATGTTTTATTTTGTCAAACTTGCAATAATGGTCAAAAATGAATTTATATAGGTTGACTGACAGAGGGAGCTGACAGTGTGTTGAAGAATTATGGACAGGGCGCTTTGAAGCATCTGGTTCAAAAACGCATTATCAACCTTTGGTAGAAATCCATCCATCCTTCCATTTTCTGTACACCCTGTCCCTTAGTGGGGTCGGGAGGTGCTGGTGCGGGGTCCACCCTAGACAGGCGGCCATCAAAACCATGCAAAAAAATAAAAAATCCTCGTAAAACGCACGCCCAGACCGGGCTAATTTCAACACAAGTTGTGTTAGGTGACTGTTACTCACACTGACGTTTCTCTTTTTAAATAAATCTGAGTAAGTCCTACTGCTGTTTCAGCCTTTTAGTTGGTGGTGGCATTGTACTGAAATGAGATATAAAAAAAAATATATAAAAAAAACATTTTGGCTAGCGTGGCAAACGTCTAGAGAAAGTTAGCAGTTAAATATTGGATGAGTGATCAGCCCAAGACTACGGAAGAGGATTAGGGCCACTGGAAAAAAAAAAAAAATTAAGTGATTTTTACATTTTGTTTCAGTTTAATACGGGAAAAAAGTCAGAATCCTGACTTTTATTTTCAGAATTAAGACTTTTTTTTCTCAGAATTCTGACTTTTTTTCTCAGAATTTTGGATCTTAATGTAGATGGGCACCATGAAGGCAGAGATGTGGAGCACTCAGCTTCACTGACAAAGATGTGAGTTGTTTGAGAGAGCCAGTGACACATTGGTGGAAAATGACAGAATTAGGCAACTTTTTACGTGCCCGTGGGGTCCCCTCATTAATGGAGGAGCAGAAGGTCATTAAACAAGAGAGCTAGGCTCTAAAACAGACATGGCTATGGCTTGATGCTAACATGTTTGTTGTTAAACATACTTTTGTTATATTACATTTGTGTTGTGTTTTCCAAATAGTGTAGAAAATTAATGGTGGGTTTATAATGTTTACCTTTTATGAGCAGGACAGGAAGCAGAGAAGTGTAGCATTACCTCCAACTAGTTAAACTCATAATTATGAAGTTATTCAACAAATTCCTCAAGTAAAAAAGTGCAACTTTTATTTTTTATTTATTTATTTTTTTTTTTACCAGATTTGTTGATTAATTTCAGAATTATGTATTCCTTCCAAATTTCCAAATCTGAAGAATTTTTTAAACCAATATCTACATTATTTAACATTTAGTTTGTTTTAGCAGTACTTCCTGTTATATTTCTTTATACGTATATTTTACATTTTCTTGCACAGCAAGCTCAGCAGATTTAAAATGGTGTGCTTGTGTAAACACTAGTCAATCTTTACTCTAAACATATATTCTGGTTATTTTTTAGTGAGACCTTCTTGTTTTTATATATCTGTATAGTACCCCCCCCCCCCCCCCCACCACCAAAAAAAAACTGTAAATTGATTAGAAACATTAATCATCTGTCAGATTTCTGAGAAAAAAGTCAGAATTCTGAGATTAAAGTCAGAAATCTGAGAAAAAAGTCAGAATTCTGAAAAAGTCAGAATTCTGACTTTTTCCCCCATGTTAAACTAAAAAAAATTAAAAATCAGTTAACTTTTTTCAGTGGCCCTAATCCTCTTCCAACAAGACTAAGATGCCTAAACCAAAAAGATTCAGTTTCTATATATGAAAGTGAACTGACAACAAGACGTTATAAATAGGCAATATTCATAGCAGCATTCCCGACAGACCATTTTACCTCATTAACAAGTTTCTGACTTTCTGTATCGCTGTTTCCCTCTGAGTGCTCAAACACTCAACAGTTCACAGAGGGGAGGGGGAGTACAGTGACGTAACGCTATGCTGCGCCTTCAAAATAAAAGCACGACAGTTAAAAAATTGTCAAAATCTAATATTTTGCGGTACAATTTTTGGGGGGGACATATCCACCTGGCTTTTATATTGGGGGGGACATGTCCCCCCCGTCCCCCCCGCTTCCTACGCCGCTGACTGAGGGTCACTAAGGTCTTACTCAGAACCACTGAGGGTCACTAAGGTCTTACTCAGAACCACTGAGGGTCACTAAGGTCTTACTCAGAACCACTGAGGGTCACTAAGGTCTAACTCAGAACCACTGAGGGTCACTAAGGTCTTACTTAGAACCACTGAGGGTCACTAAGGTCTTACTCAGAACCACTGAGGGTCACTAAGGTCTTACTCAGAACCACTGAGGGTCACTAAGGTCTTACTCAGAACCACTGAGGGTCACTAAGGTCTTACTCAGAACCACTGAGGGTCACTAAGGTCTTACTCAGAACCACTGAGGGTCACTAAGGTCTTACTCAGAACCACTGAGGGTCACTAAGGTCTTACTCAGAACCACTGAGGGTCACTAAGGTCTTACTCAGAACCACTGAGGGTCACTAAGGTCTTACTCAGAACCACTGAGGGTCACTAAGGTCTTACTCAGAACCACTGAGGGTCACTAAGGTCTTACTCAGAACCACTGAGGGTCACTAAGGTCTTACTCAGAACCACTGAGGGTCACTAAGGTCTTACTCAGAACCACTGAGGGTCACTAAGGTCTTACTTAGAACCACTGAGGGTCACTAAGGTCTTACTCAGAACCACTGAGGGTCACTAAGAACTCACTCAGGACCACTGACCTCTGGTACTCAAACCATAAACCATTAGGTCACTTAGAACTTACTGAGAACCACTAAGAGGACATCTATCTTAGTGAACATTAGACCTTCCTATCTAGCTGGTTCTGACCACAGAGCCCCATCAACATACTGTAAATATGGACACCCGATCACATCAGATCCACTGTTTTTCACTGGTCCAGATTACCAACTCAGAGTAATTACTCATGTGAGTTAATAGAGATGCTTTATATTCTTATAGGAAAGCTATTTCATACATTTGATCCATTATTATTGCTGGTTTCTGTTGAGGCATCATTTCTACAGTTTACGCTTTAGGTAAAGTTGAGGAGATCCAGCCCCAGAGAGCTCCACTACAATGCTATAAACCAAAAGGATTCATAAATCAACAGTAGTTGGAATGTAGACAAAGTTTTTAAATTCAGCTGGGATAGTATGGAAGTAAGGAAAGTATGTATTGAATGACTGACTGCTCTCTAGTGATCTCATTTACAAGATGAAATGTATGAACTGGAATATTTTGTTCTCTGAAATAGATTCCAGTGACACTCAGAGGGGCGAAGAACTGAACCACAGGAATCCTTTTTAATTCTTTTCCTACTAACAGACCCTCAGGAGCTTTTCAAACAGAAATTAACACAACATTAGAAGAGATGTTTCATTTTCTTTAATAAGAAATCTACTTAAATTTCATACAACTTGCCTGATTAACACCATAATTTACATAAAGGAATCAAAACCTCTCTTGTATAAACAACAAATCTGATTCTATAGACCAGGTGTCATAAAGGTAAAGACAAGATGGAGTAATAAACTCTGGAAGCACTGATCAATCATTTAAATAATTTATCATAGGAGTTGTGGACAGCTGTGGGTCAGGGCCCACCGTCACGGAAACTGTTGGTCTGTTTACATGAAAATTACATCAACTAAACAAAACCAGCCGAGGAGAAAACTTTTAATTAAGAAACCTGTTCAGAAGAAATTAAAGTGTTTCTTTGATACATACATTAGAAAGAATTGGACAAAAACTAAGTATGAGTCAGTAAGACTGAGTGACTCTAGTAATAAACCTGTAATGCTCATTAAATCCAGAGCAGCTACTTCCTGAAGGTCCTGAACTTAGCAGCCTCACTGAAACCATGTTTATATGAATAAAAATAAAAACTCCACCCTAATAAAACACAATAGTGAAACTTTTTGTTAAAGACTGATGTGCTCAGTTCTATAAATGACGAAACTGGTGTGCTGGACTGATTCTAAAAGCTCCAGGATGGAACATACAACAGCTAAATAAAAAAAAAAACCTCTGAAGAAGCTTTGTAGGAAAAAACCAGGCTGGAAAAATCAAATCTAAACACCTAAATGAACGAAGAGATGTTTCTGCTTTTAGTAAGTAAGAGGCGCTACAGCTGAGATCAAGTTTCCCTTAAAGTGAAACATTTTCATAGAAAGTATTTTAAAAAGAACTAAATGTTTATAGAAAATATATTAATTTCCTTTTAAATAAAGTGACAGTCGTTGCCATTTCTAGAGAGAGTAGCTGCAGTGTTTCCATTTGGACCAACAGTCACTGAAGCTCTTTAAGCACAGAAATAAGATAGAAGACATGTTTGCTTGTTTCTTTCTCCCTGTTTTCCCTCAAAGTTATTTAACTGACATCAGTTCTAAACAGTCCACCAAACAGAAAAACATTCTTCCCTTTGGTTTTCTACAAGTTTAATGTTTTAAACACCCTAAAGATGGAGTCCTGGTTTTCTTATGCAGGAGGAACCGCTGGTTCTATGAAGGTCCAGATTGTTCAACACTCCAGGTCGGTGATGTTTGATCCAGATATGCTTCCTGAGCCACATTAAGACAGAAGCGGTAAACCCTCAGGCTTTTTCTAACCTGGAGATCCCAACCAGACAGCAGCTGAGGTCTGAATCCAACTTGACCCAAAGTTAAAAGATCAGTTTTAGCTTGATAAGGCTCAGGTCCATCAGCACCAATCTGTGCCGTCTTGTTTATTTCTCATCAGACTTCAGGTATCAGTCTCAGTTGAACTAAAAGAGACTTAAAATGTACATTGTTTTTTGTAGCCCTTCCCTTTCCACCTTTCCCAGTCAGTGTGGGTCTCAGGAGTGAGTCCAGCTGACTGGAACCCAGTGAGTCTCCGTCTCCACTTGCTTCAGCGCCAACTGCAGCTCCTTGAACGCTGTAGTGAGGTCATCGTTCACTATGACCTTCTCAAACAGATGACCGTAATGACTCTCCATCACCTCAGCAGAGTTCAACATCTCCTTAAAGTCCTCCTCCTGCAGGGTCCAGAACACAGAGGGAGAAAGAAACAGGAAGTTAAATTATCTCCACGAAGACGGCCTTAAAAGTTTCAATATCTGCAGCAATGAAGTGAGGTCATGCTTGGTTCCCTGCCAAACATTTTTAAAGAAACCTCATAACTAAAGAATATTTAAGATTTTCATGTTAAGACAGTGTGGAATAGATCAAAATAGAATCATCTGTGGTATATGTAACATGAATACGGACGTAATGTTTGAAACTTTGAATACTTAGTATTTGCTTTAGTCTCTGTGACTGATTACATGTTACCAGCAGTTATTTAAGGTAGAGAAGTTCCCTAGAAAATGTACCTCCTCACTGAGCAGAATAGTATTTAAGGAAAAAGGCAGAACAAAATGGTGCTTAATCTCATTGCAGAAGACGTGATAACAAGTAGATAGAAGAGAACCAAGGATCAATGCTCAAGGAGGACCACAGAGCCGTTATTCTGTGAATCAGCAAGACTTTTGCCCAGTGCCCAACTCTGTGAGTAACCCCATGTTGGGGCTGTAGTCTCTGGAAGTCTCTTGAGAGTACTACTGTGACTCTGAACTAGTCAGTGGTCAACGCCTGGTCGAACCAACAAGGTCTGATATAACATTAATTATCAAAGGAGTAAGAAACTGTGTCAGTAACTTTAAAGAAGATCGGTCTTGTCTTTGTATGTTTATCTGAAGGCAAACAGTGGCGAAATGTTCGGCCTACATCCCAACAGACTTTGTGAACGTGCCACGTGCAGAAAGTTATCACATCTTTTATAGATTTTACGGCACATGGCAGAACATTGATGAGAAACAGATGTGTGGAGGTGAAAAGAACATAACCTTGAGAGAGGCTTTCCTCCAAGAAACCAGGCATTAAAAAACATATAAAATGAAACAAGAAAACAGTTCTAGAGGAATTACCCTCAACCATATGAAATGCAAGGCCACTGAAGTAGCAGAGTTATCCTGCTAATTAAAAGAATATATGGTCATGCACAAACTTTCCCACTAGGTGGTTCCAGCCTGCCTAAAGTGTGAGTTGATGCTGAACCATTCTGTCAGCTGATGGAGTCGAGAAAGACGGGAAAGTGGTGGTTAGGTTAGCCCTGGACCACGCTGCCAGTCAAAAGCGGAACCTCATTGAAAGAATTCACGGTACCAATGTGTCTGCTCCCCGATAAAGTCATACATTAAAAAATTTTCATTAATTTTTTCTCTTAGACATTGGAGTGGTGCATTTAAGTGTTATAGAGCTAAACATGTTAAATTGGTGAGTAGTAGTAGTGTAAGTTTATAACCTGGACGGGCTGCCTTTTACAGCTGCTTTTTGTGTCTCTGCTTCTGTCTCCTTGAACCCCAGTCGGCCTCGGCAGATGGCCGCTCACACTGAGCTGGTTCTGCTGGAGGTTTCTTCCTGTTAAAAGGGAGTTTTTCCTCTCCACTGTCGCTACAAGCATGCTTAGTGTGAGGGATTGTATTTGAGTCAATGAGTCAATGCAATCAACTGGTTTTCCTTAGATAGAAAACTTTGCATCAATTTGACTGTATGATCTGGTTGAACTGTAAAGTGCCTTGAGATGACATGTGTTGTGAATTTGGCGCTATATAAATAAACTGAATTGAATTGAACCTGTCGAGTTTTTTTTTTTAGATTTTTAACATTACAATTTATATTTTTCCAAGCACACAACAGTTTAAAGCAAAGTTTAGTTTGAAAAGAATGTGCAGGAAGGATTAAAAAGCATGTTAACACGGTAATGTAGGATTGAGTTCATTATCTGACGCATGCATATACACACCAGGAACCTGGAAACTTACTGAATTACAAAAAACATTTAAAAAACAAACATGTTTTATTGATATATATACAAAAATGAATATTAGGAACTATATTTATCAAACATTATATTGGGCAAGTAAAAATTGTTTCTGGGCAAATGAAATGTGAAAGTCACTTGCCCGAACATCAACCCCTGAGTGACAATTAAGGCCATAGAGGCATCAATAAACCAAATTAACACTAGGGATGGGACGATTTATGAAAACCGTCCGAACCGTTCGGTTCGGCTGTCTCGGTTCGATTCGTGTGTGTTTCGTTCAGTTCATGCGCTGCTCCTTTTTCTTGTACACTCCAGAGCAGAAGGTGGCGGTACTGCGACCAAAGCCAACCACCAGTAGTAAACAAGAAGAAGAAGCGAAGCAGCTTAGCCGGGTGTAGCAGGGAAAAAAATCCGTTGTTGTGGAGAATTGTGTCGGAGTGGGAAAGAACAGGAGTTGGAAGACGCGCCAGCAGCACTTTATAGGTCTGCTGTATGGGACCACTTTGCATTTAGAGTGACCTACGATGAAGGCGGAAAGAAAGTTGTGGATAAAAGTGCAACAGTCTGCAAGCATCGTGCAACACGTTTTGTTTATGCTAACAGCAACATGTCATGCTAACCCCGAAATCCCTCATACTCCGTCAGCAACCCCCGCTCTGCCCCGCTGCGCTCCAGACCGGCTGCTCAAAGCAAAGCCTACAGCCTCCACTGTGGCTGTGAGTCCCTTGGAGATGGTAGAGAGCATGCGCGAGATGATTAAATTCAAAGCAGCAAAACATACGGAAATGATCCAGGGTTTCCGCGGATCATTTAAAATAATTACAATCCAATATTTTTTGGGGGATTTTTTCATTAATTTCATAAATTTTTATGGGATTTCGGTGTAACAATCAACATATACCGAATCGAACTGAACCAAAAACCATGACCACGAAACTGTGAATCGAACTGAACCGTGGATTTTGTGAACCGTTCCACCCCTAATTAACAGAGATTCCTTTTTTTCTAAGATATTCTTTTGCTGCTTATTTCAGACCATAAAAATTCCCGACTTGGCTTTGAAACCCAATTGATCATCTGTTGTAGTAATAAATGCATTGAGGCAACCAAGCACGATTTTTTCTAATACCTTAGATATCAAACTAGCTAAAGCTATTGGTCTGTAGTTATTAAGGCTACCAGCCCTACTAGTTTTGTCCTTAATTACTGGCAGAAGGGTGATATCGGTTACCCTTGAGGATAAGATATCGTATTGTTCCGAAGGTTATTAACCACCATCTTCTGGAACCTCCTGCAAACACAACAGCGAATACATCCCTGCCGGTGTGCTCTGGAGATATTACCACAAAACTCCCAGGGGCTGCAGCAACACCTCACTACCAAATAATGCACCTGCGATAATACAGTGTACACCTTCCCTTCTGAAAATATACTACTTAAAGAATCATATAAAATTTTAATAAATGTATTGGATTTATTGAGTAACTTTTCTATTAAAGGGATAGTTTAGTGTCCCTACCGCCACCGAGCCTCCTGCTTCTACAAGTGGCTGGTAAACAACTATTTGGCGGTGAATGATCTGGTTCATTTATTTCTGTTTCGCAGGAACTATCTTCCGCTGCTATGCAGCAGAGTGTTAGCGGCAGAGATAACATTCCACCCGGATGTTTTGAAATTGTCGACATAGTCTGACAAAACACATGCATAGTTTTTTAGCTTGAAAACCATTGATTAACGTGCCCCCGTAACGTACCAGAACTAACCTTTTCTCCGGTGCATTACCAGCTGTTTCTCGTGGCAGGAGGCTCGGTAACGATATGGACATCTTTGCATCTCAGCTACAGATGGTGAACGGTTCACACGCCTTCATGTCAGAAAACCTGAACTATCCTTTCAAGTTCTTTAATGGTTATAAAACAAACTTAATGCACTATTCATCAAATTATTGGTAGGTCCTTTAAAGGTTTCAATATTTTATAAACAACACCCTTAGGGCTTTTTAGCCAATAAAACCTTATCTGATCAAAATAAAAAGTGGCATCTGTATCTAGGTGCTACGGAAAATAGACGCCTTTAGGTTATGAGGTTGTTGGACTTGTCTGGCACATCCAAATAGATCGCATAGAAGCTCTAAGCAGGGAAAAACTCGTTACATCCAGAGATCTTAGAACCCTGATTTGTTTGAGCCATAACCCCATGTAAAGAGAGAGGGGAGGGGTTAGGCTAGAGTGTTAGAACAAAAAGGCCTTAAAGCCACTGCTTTGAAGACACAATTATACAAAAAGAGGCCTGTGCAGAGCCTGTTATATCCTCCCTGAGACATGGTTCCCACTCATGAACCCTGCCACAGATTATGCACTGAAACCTCAAGGAATTTCCATTATTCCCTCCACTGAATCCACACCGAGATGCAACCCACTAAAACAACCATTATCTTCAGAAATATCCTTCAAACAGGCAAACGGCTAAATACAGCTCTGATTTACAGACAGGAAAAGTCTCCATTTCTGTCAGTCTGCAGTCTGTGTGCGATGGGAGATGACAGCTTGTGGAGCAGGCTGATTTTGGGCTGTGTGAACTGGCTGCACAGAGGAACCTTTGTATACAAACATGGAAGCTCAATCAGTAGCTGGAGGTGTTTCTAAGTCCATCAGAGTATCAGTCATCAGGTGTGAAGAATAAAACCAGCTCTACCTGTGAGGAACATCAGTACTGAATATTTTTAGCAGGTTCGGGGTAAATATTTCCTACTTGGGGCTCCTCTATTCATAGAGGAGTTCTGAACCTGCCCAGATCTCCCTCTGCATTGGTCCCTTTGAGGCTTTCTGCTTTTAGTCGTGTTGATTCTGGCCTCCCCCAATAGCCTCTTCTGGTTTTATTGAAACATTCAGCTTTACATTTGAGGACAGATACGGTTTTATAAGTAACCACTTTGCTAAACAGAGTTATAAACAAACAGAGATGCAGATTTATGCTGGGAAACTCAAACACCAAAACAAACCTGGAGGATTCAAGCTGAGCAGAGTTTTAAACCTGTATGCACATAAACACAGGCTCCTAAAAGCTTCTAACTGCTGACCAGCTCTGTTTTTAGAGACGCCTCCTTCAGCCAAAAGTTAGTCCAGAATATCTCTGGTGGTTTTCTGCTTCATAATGGATTAGCTCCAGCTAAATATCTCCTTGAACCCCAGTCGGCCTCAGCAGATGGCCGCTCACACTGAGCCTGGTTCTGCTGGAGGTTTCTTCCTGTTAAAAGGGAGTTTTTCCTCTCCACTGTCGCTACAAGCATGCTTAGTGTGGGGGATTGTATTTGAGTCAATGAGTCAATGCAATCAACTGGTTTTCCTTAGATAGAAAACTTTGTATCAATTTGACTGTATGATCTGGTTGAACTGTAAAGTGCCTTGAGATGACATGTGTTGTGAATTTGGCGCTATATAAATAAACTGAACTGAACTGAACTAAATATAAAAACTCTGTGAGAGTCAGCTGAAGCCCTGCTTGCCGTTTCTGTCCTGCTGTCTTCCGTGAATCGACTCAGTGAACAGAAACACAGAGTTACGTTAAGTTACGTTGATAGTTTGATCAGTTCTGGTCCCGATGGCTGCTGTCCCCCAAAACAGGAAGACCTGACCACGAATCTGTGTGCTGATTGGTTTGCTACATTTTCTCATCCAACAATAAGAATCTGGGGCTGCAGGTAAAATTATATATTCTACAGCAAAAAGGCTCAACAGGATGGATAGAGATGGAAACAGAACCAGATAAACTAATGAAGAAAAGAAGAACAAAGGAAGAGGGGTTCTTTGACTCCTCACACCGACTATTAAGTATTAGTGAGGTAAAAATCCAACTCTTACCTTTGTAGAAGTTAAGAGTATTGAATTAAGCTTTTTACTCCGGTAAAAGTACCATTTTAAAACTATGTAAAGCATTACAGTAAAAGTAATGCAGGAAAAAAATGTTAATGACAGATGCTCCCTTTTAACGTTTTGCTTCACCTCGTTCCCATTCCTTTTACCAATTATTTTCCCCAAAATTTCCCAAATAATGTCTAATAAATGCATTTACTTAAACATCTATAAAATGGTCTAAAAGAGTGAAAGCCTTAATTTGTGAAAGTAAACCTGTTGAGCTCCATTTTCGCACTAAGAAAAAAATTGTTGATTAATAAAAATCAGCTCTTTTTCAGACAAAAAAAGGCATAAAGGTGGAGACACTGAACACCTATGGTAACAACACAACACGGAGTGCTGCTAAAGTTTGAGGGTCTTTCAGCGTCGCTTTTAGCTTGAATATGAACATTTCAGTTTGTGCCATATTTGCTACTTTAGGCCATTGTGCTAATGCTAAGTCTTAAACCATTCGAGAAAAACAGCTTTCAGGAAGCAATGTCTTTAGACAAATCTAGATATTTTGCCCAAGGATTTTCAATAACATACATGAGAATCACCTTATGGAATATAAATGTTAACCCTCTCCAGGCATATGTTGCAGATTTGCAACAGCTAAATGCCACTTAGGTAATTACTCCACATCCATAGTCTAAGAGCTTTTTTAAGTCAGAAGTACAACAGAAGGACATAGTAACTCTCCAGAGGTTGTGGGTCTCTCACCGTGAAAGGTCTGGCAGATCCTTTGTCATCCTTGCCTGGGAGAAATTTGGCGTTCCTTCTCGTTTCCCTCAGTCTTTCAATTGGGGGAGGTTTCACAAACACAACGAAGGGTTTGAATTCAGCTGTTCGCAGCAACTTTATTGTCTAGAACAACAAATAAACAAGAAACAAGAAAGAGAATAATGAAGTTTGAACTAGTCTAGTTGCTTTTTCAACTTTTCCAGATCCACTGGACAAACTGGAAACATTTCAGGAAAAGTGCAGAGAAGGAGATCTTATGACATAATCAGAGGGGCTGAAATGCATGGAGGTGAAGGTGTCAGGATGTTGGGGGACATCTGGATGCAGCAGAGAGCTTAGCGTCACTCACATGAGGCTGGACATCCATTAGACAGACTTTGTTCTTGGAGAGGATGGAGCGGACAGAGCCCAGACTTGTTCCGTAATAATTCCCATTGTACACACCGTACTCCACCAGCCTGAGGAGGGAGAGAGAAATAAGAAATTTATACTCAGATTTTAAAAGCTGTTTGTGTCTCTAACTAACATCCCAGTTTGGGGAAATTCCTGTAAAAGCTCCCAGCAGCTCAGGCTGAGAAACTGAAAGCTTGGAGCATCTATGGGGTTTATTGTAGTAGGGTAGAAATACGACTTAGATCATTGGACATAATAGCTGAAGCTGAACACACGTTGTTGTGGCCTGTTTTTTCGGAGCTGAGAGCGTAGTTTCTGCTGCTGCAATGAGCCAGAACAAAAACAAGTTCATCTCCTCTCCTTCACTGAGCCGCCTGTAATTTTTACAGTGGACATTTCCACTTGTCCAGCCCACATCACAGCACGGTCACTCATCCCTCCGACTCGGTGAAAAACATTGCATGCCTTGACCTCCACCGCAACATGTCCTAAATATAAAACCTCCCCCGACAGCGCCATCACCCTGTCCTCCTGCTCTCAGCATGCTGGAACTCTCTTTGCACTCTCTGTGTGTCAAACACTTGATCTAACTGAGTTTGTTTGTGTGCAGAAACATCCTGCGTGTCCAACCTGCAGGGTGACTTCTTCTTCTGCCCTCCAGCTCATGTGAGAGCAGCAGAAAGGCATCCATCATCCCTCTGAGCGTTACAACTTGTTTTTAATTTGTTGGCCACAAATGTGGAAGCAGAACACAGAGGCCGGTTTCAGAGAGGAGGAAGCACGGGCGGAGACCTGGGGGCGACTGTCTGGAGATCAGGGACCAGCACAGGGCCCGGCCCGGTCACCAGCTGCTCATACCGAGGTACAGAGACACACAGATGACAGCAGGGCGCTGCTGGCTAAACTGAGGCAACAAACACTGGAGACACCAGACTCCTGCTGTCCCTGTTGAACTCTGCTTCTAGTGAACAGGAGAGGAATCACCTCTCTGATGGAGTTTAGGCTCTTGAATTCAATTCATTTTTTATATAGCACAAATTCACAATTCACAGTCATCCCAATGCACTTTACAGTCACCAGATCATCCAGTCAAATTAATTCAAGGTTTCCTATTTAAGGAAAACCAGTTGACTGCATTTAATCATTGACTCGAAGGCAACCCTTCACACTACGCATGCTTGTAGCAACAGTGGAGAGTAAAAACTCCCTTTTAACAGGAAGAAACCTCCAGCAAAACCAGGCTCAGTGTCCTGGGGTTCAAGGAGACAGAAGCAGAGATACAGAAAGAAGCAGAGGTACAAAACATAACTGTCTACCAGCTCCACAAGCGGCCCCATCCAGCAAACACAGACAGAAAGCTCCCATGTCAGAGAATGAAAAACTGCACATACAGTTAGTCACAGTCAGAGAAACAGGCCAAGCTCATAATATAAGCAGAACGTTAGAGATTGAACTAACAGATTCTGCAGAGTGGGAGAATAGAGATAGAATGAAGCAAAATGATGAAAAGAAGTTCCTATGTCCTCCAGCAGTCTAAGCCTATATCAGTATAACTATAGAGATAGGTCAGGATAACCTGAGCCACTCTAACTATGAGCTTTATTAAAAAGGAAAGTCTTACGTCTACCCTTAGACCCGTAGACAGGATGTCTGCCTAACGGTCTATAACTGGTAGTTGGTTGCACAGGAGAGGAGCCTGATAAAAGGTTAACCTAAATATCTGAGACTCGCTTATTTGCAGCAGCTTTGATAACCACTGAAGGTTAGTAAAGTCACCAAAGATGAGCTTCCAGATGAAAAAGAAATGGATAGAAAACCTTTCAGACTTTTCAGAGGTTGATCTTTCCAGCTGGTTGGTTCTTTTTTCAAACTCATCAATCAATAATGATGTACAGAGTTTCTGCAGCTTCTGGAACTTAAAGTCTAATCAGTAAAAAACGGTTTAAGTTCAGCAGTGGGTTTGCTTCTTCATCATAATACCTATTTTTCTTTGAGCCCTTCACAGGTCTACATACTTGTTGTTGTGGATGTCCGTCTCAAAGAGATGTTTGGAGATAAAGTGGTACTCCACACCATCGCTCTCCTGGTTCCTCTTGGGCCGAGTGGTATCTGAGAGAGAGAGATAGAGACAGAGAGAGAGAGGGGGGGTTGAACCTGCCTGAGACTCATAATTATAGAACTTTAAGCCTGACAAGCAGTACTACAGGTGATGCCAAGCTCTATAAAAGCCCAACCTGAACGCCTCGTTGTAAAACGGGTGGTGGGAGAAGCACGTGGCGGGTAGGAGAGCAGTAAGTCTGATGGGTTTGTCACGGTCAGGGGTCAACTCTCCTTTCAGCATGTCAGAGGTTTACAACCCTGACCAGCATACCCATAGTCAATACCTGTTTATCCCTTTAGTTTTGTACAAATAAATACACTTTAAACTACCTCAACGTGCATGTATCCCTTTAGTCATGTACAAATAAAAACAATTTAATTACTTACTTTTTGTTGTCTTTTGAAGCGTATGGCAATCTGACCTTAAATATATATTTTTTTGTAAATGACTAAAGGGATACACACCCGTCAAGGTAGTTTAAAGTCTATTTTTTGTGCAAAACTAAAGGGATAACACAAATTTGAGGTCTTGTGCATGCATATGACTATATGACTATAGGTATGCTGATCTGACGGAACACCGGCTCTCAAGAACGAGCTGTGTCACTTACATCGGTGTTTTCCAACCTATTTTTTGACTTATGCAACCCTTTGGGCATTTTGTCTTACCATGAGTACCCTTCTCAGTCAAAAGTATTGATGATTGTCCAAAAGTTGCATGTACAATAACTGATTATAAAATACAGAGTATTTTATTGAATCTTTTAATTTAAGCAGTTAATTCTTAGGCATTTCATTCTTTCAAACTCAAATAAATAAAAAATAAAAACAACAGAAATATGTTGCTTGGAAGTTAGTAAGGAATTGAAATAATACTAAATAACATCATGTTATAAACCTGTTTATAAAGCTGCTGCTCCTCTGTGTAACTCCCCAATAATCACATAAACTTGGTGAATCGGGAAGAAAAATTATAGTCAGACTGACTCCATTTATTTTACTTTGTTTTCATCATTCATGACACCTGAGCTGTGGAAAAACAGCTGACCAATCTGTTACTCTGCTTGGTTTTAAAGCCTAAAATTAGCTCAAACATTTAGGAATAACTTACTATTAGGTAACCTGACTCCGCCAGATGGATTTGCTGGATTTGCTCCACATATCCATCTGGAAACCTTCCGTCGAAGTAATTTTGGGAAGGGGCGAAAATACTGGTTAGCTGATTGGCCTATGTTGGTGATAGACGGGCCAAATAAACCAATCAGATCAACGAAGCATATGACGTAACAGAGCGACGACGAAGAGGAGCCAATTGATAGATCAAACTCTTGTCGAAACCAGTCGGGAGAAGAGCAAAAACATCTTTTCCTCTGAGAAAAGCCTCCAGAGCAGTGTTTTGCTCTTCTTTCAGTGAAGAAATACTCTGTAATTCCGATAAAACTTGCTCGATAGCCACGCTAACGCTAGTTTCATCGGCTGAAGCCGCCATGTTCTTTAGACTGAACTGTCGCGCTTCCAGTTGCGTCACACCTCAACGCGCCTCAAAGCCAACACTGATTGGACGTTCGTTTGGTGAACGGCTCCAAAATTTCTTTAACGGACCTGAGAAATAAAATATTTTTATGTGCCCCTTGCAATGCACTACCGGACAACTCGTGGTACACAAACCCCCTGTTGGGAATCACTGACTTGCAACATACACTCACCGGCCACTTTATTAGGTACCCCATGCTAGTAACGGGTCGGACCCCCTTTTGCCTTCAGAACTGCCTCAATTCTTGGTGGCATAGATTCAACAAGGTGCTGGAAGCATTCCTCAGGGAGTTTGGTCCATATTGACATGATGGCATCACACAGTTGGCGCAGATTTGTCGGCTGCACATCCATGATGCAAATCTCCCGTTCCACCACATCCCAAAGATGCTCTATTGGATTGAGATCTGGTGACTGTGGAGGCCATTTGAGTACAGTGAACTCATTGTCATGTTCAAGAAACCAGTCTGAGATGATTCCAGCTTTATGACATGGGGCATTATCCTGCTGAAAGTAGCCATCGGAAGTTGGGTACATTGTGGTCATAAAGGGGTGGACATGGTCAGCAACAATACTCAGGTAGGCTGTGGCGTTGCAACGATGCTCAATTGGTACCAAGGGGCCCAAAGAGTGCCAAGAAAATATTCCCCACACCATGACACCACCACCACCAGCCTGAACCGTTGATACAAGGCAGGATGGATCCATGCTTTCATGTTGTAGACGCCAAATTCTGACCCTACCATCCGAATGTCGCAGCAGAAATCGAGACTCATCAGACCAGGCAACGTTTTTCCAATCTTCTATTGTCCAATTTCGATGAGGTTGTGCAAATTGTAGCCTCAGTTTCCTGTTCTTAGCTGAAAGGAGTGGCACCCGGTGTGGTCTTCTGCTGCTGTAGCCCATCTGCCTCAAAGTTCGATGTACTGTGCGTTCAGAGATGCTCTTCTGCCCACCTTGGTTGTAACGGGTGATTATTTGAGTCACTGTTGCCCTTCTATCAGCTCGAACCAGTCTGGCCATTCTCCTCTGACCTCTGGCATCAACAAGGCATTTTCTGCCCACAGAACTGCCGCTCACTGGATGTTTTTTTCTTTTTCGGACCATTCTCTGTAAACCCTAGAGATGGTTGTGCGTGAAAATCCCAGTAGATCAGCAGTTTCTGAAATACTCAGACCAGCCCTTCTGGCACCAACAATCATGCCACGTTCAAAGTCACTCAAATCACCTTTCTTCCCCATACTGATGCTCGGTTTGAACTGCAGGAGATTGTCTTGACCATGTCTACATGCCTAAATGCATTGAGTTGCCGCCATGTGATTGGCTGCTTAGAAATTAAGTGTTAACGAGCAGTTGGTCCGGTGTACCTAATAAAGTGGGCGGTGAGTGTATGTCTCTGCTTTACCAGGAATATCAGAGATCCACCAGTCAGAGAAGAGACTGGAGATCTGCTTCATGTCACTGAGTAAATCCTTACTTTACTTTCTATAATAGTGAAGGTTGAGAAGAACATTTTCGATAGATAGAAACTAGACTTTACTTATGTTAAATCCAAAAACACACTTACACAGCATGTGAGCTGATGAAGAATCAGCTGAGCTAACACTGCGAGTTGTCTCAGACTCTCACTCAGACAAGATTGGGAGCACTTCAGAGAGACGACTGTAAGGAACTTACGTGGGATGGTGAAACCGAAGTGCTGAGGGTCAGAGATCAACAGTTTCTTCTTGAGTTCATCCAAGCCGACACCAGTGGGTCCTATACAGAACCAAACAGAAACATTTTAAACAGTGCTTCTCACCAGAAACAGTGTCAGATTGCACTCTTCCCAAGAGTTCACATAAGTTTAATACCAAGTTTAATACCAAGAGCCTCATAAGCAAAGTTTTTATTTAGTTTTAGCTTTTCTACAACAGGTAAGCACAAAAACATGTTAGACAACAGTAAAAAAAGAGAGAAATATGTTTTATCCTGAAATACACAGGAAGTTATTGCATCACAACATTTTACTTCTGGTTTGGCTCATGCAATCACTGGTGGTTGGCAAAGGACAGCTGTGGCATCAAGTAAAACTTGAAAAATTGCCAATTTTTTCATATTACCATACCGCCTCAGTAACCAAACATGCACAGTGATGCTCAGATAAGATATACGCACCTCTCATCCTTCTCAAATGTTAGTCTGCCTGCAAGATGTCATGTTATCTGTATTTGCTATGTGCTGGGGTTTTTTGCAGTCTCAAACTATATCCTGCTAAGTATAAAGTATGAAATACGTTTTTTTTTCTTCTTCTGACCTATTGGGATCCCTTTCTTTTGTTTTTCTTATTATATATATTTTTTACAGTGTCCTGTCTGGCAATGTGGCAATAAGTATAATTGTCTTGATGCCAAAAAGAGTCCAACAGATTTTACTTTCACAAGAGGAGAAGTATGGCCCTATTGTTCCACTTGTTTTATGCGTATAAATTGCTTTATTGTAATTATGCAGGGAGTTTTACAGATTATATGGAGACAGCAGTGTAAATAGAACAGAATAGGAAGAACAGAAGAAGAAAAGGAAAAAAAATTATAAAGGGCAGCGCCTTTTATTGCCAGTAAGTTCATGGCCCAATTGTTACATATGCAAATCTATGCAACTTCATGTGCTTTGGTTTAAATAATGAAGAGCTTTAGTCATTTGGTGTTTTTTGTAGTTCTTTTTTAATGGCGGTACTCTCAATTTGACTAGCACCATACATGCGCGTTTGCATCATACAATTAGCCTCGTGAGACCACCCTGATCTCGCGAGCTTTCAAGGTTTCACTTGCAGATCAGTCTGGCTACTTTCCGTGGAAGAAATTTGGAGCCGTTCACCAAACGAACGTCCAATCAGCGTTGGCTTTGAGGCGGGTTGAGGTGTGACGCAACGAGAAGCGCGACAGTTCAGTCTAAAGAACATGGCGGCTTCAGCCGATGAAACTAGAGTTAGCGTGGCTATCGAGCAAGTTTTATCGGAATCACAGAGTATTTCTTCACTGAAATATAATATCCTTTTGCAACATGTTGCTTATTTGCTGAGCTAACGAGCCATCACCTGCAGCAGGAAGAGTAGCCTGGCTTGTGGTTGTGTTTTCGTCGTCGCTCTGTTAGTACGCTATATGCTTCGTTGATCTGATTGGTTTATTTGGCCCGTCTATCACAAACATAGGCCAATCAGCTAACCAGTAGTTTCGCCCCTTCCCAAAATTACTTCAGATGGATATGCGGAGCAAATCCAGCTGGTGGAGTCAGGTTATCATACAATGGCGTCCAGAAGTCTAAATTCTGTTTGGAATTGGAACAGCAGTCCGTAATTCTTTTAAGAACCATAATAGAGGTCCTACTGTTGACCCCATGAAAGGTGAAGGCAAAGGAGCTGGGGCGACTATTTCTAACAGTGCCAGTGTTTCTCTTCTTCTCTCCCTCTGTCTGAAAACTAGAGCACCACATTATCCTTTGGTATCTTTAATAAACTTGGCAGTATGTCAGTGCTGTGCAAGGCTCAACCAGTCAGTTGGACCTTTGTAATGTGTAGAGAGTGAGAAACTCTTTGATCAGGTTCCACATTCCTCACATTCAAGGTGTTCAGGACATACTCTGCAATCATATTAAACCCTATTGGAGGTTAATTTTTCCATGTGAATAAGTTCAGTACACCATCCCTCTAAACAAACTGCTGATGGCTTCGGTCAGAGCTGAGGATTTGATACTAAGAGAAGTGGATGGGAAGGAGGAAAAAAAAACATATCAAGAGAATTGTTTCTCATCTTTCTTCTTCTGTTCTCTCAGTGTTACTCAACGTTTAATGTGGTGGAGAGGAGAAAGGTTTAATGGAGATCCACAACCGGATAAACAGTTGATGAGATCAAAGCTCTTTCAGTCTAAGCTCTTGTCATCGAAACCTAAATATACAGAAACATTGACAGCCCATGCTTTCCCTCTCCTCCTTCACTTAGTAACACAGGCTTTCGAGTCTAGTTGTGTGACGGGTGGAAGTGATAAAGACGGTTTCCTCAATGAGCACGGAGACTCTACAGGGAAATAAAAACATCTCTGAGGAACCAGAACTTCGGAGGTTCTGGACACTCTGTGGTTACCTTCTCAGATCAACAAGCACAAAGTGAAGCAAAGACAGCCATCAATCTTAGCTGGAGAGAAGTTTTTCACTCACAGAAAAACAGTCTGAGGAGCTGAGCGGTCGGCTGATTTATTTAGGGAATAGAGTAAATTTGGAGTGGGTTTCAAAAATGTGGGAGGAATGCAGCGCTGCTGTTTGAACAAGGCTCAGAACCAATATTGTTGTAAGTGATGAAGGTGGCAGAGCGTGGTAATAGAGACTCTGGAAGGATCCTGTTCAAAGAGGAGCAGCCAGTCCGCCTAGCAGGCCGCAAACCTGCACACAGGCTGGTTTTTCAGTCTCAGTTGGGATACGAGCATCGGAATCGCTTGATTCACCAAGTGATAACTTTGGTTACACTTTACTTTCAATTGAGACTTCGTATATAAGAATATAAAAATTAAAATATATATATATGTCTTGTTAATTTGTATACAGTGCTCAAAGAAAATACCGAAATCACTCAAATAACACATCCTAGATCTGAATAAATTAAATATTCTCAATGAGTAGTTTGTTCTGTACAAAGTTTAATATGCTGACAACAAAACCACACAAAAAACATCAATGGAAATCCAATTTATTAACCAATGGAGGCTTGGATTTGGAGTCGCACACAAAATAAAAGTGGAAAAACACTAAAGGCTGATCCAACCTTAATGTAATGTACTTAAACAGGTCAAAATGAGGCTCAGTATTGTGTATCCCCTCCCCTTTCCTGTATCACCCCCGTACAACGACTGGGCATGCTCCTGATGAGGTGGCAGATGGTCTCCTGATCTACTCCCAGACCTGGAATAAAGCATCTGGCAACTACTGGACAGTCTGTGGTGCAACATAACGTTGGTGGATGGATAGAGACATGATGTCCCAGATGTGCTCAATCAGCTTCAGGTCATTACATAGCTTCAATGCCTTCATCTTGCAGGACATACTGACACACTCTAGCCACATGAGGTCTAGCATTGGCCTGTATTAGGAGGAAACCACAGACAAATGCACCAGCATATGGTCTCACAAGGATTCATTCCGCTACCTAATGACAGTCATGCTACCTCTGGTGAGCACATGGAGGGATGTGCCCCTATCCCACACCATTACTGACCTACTGCCAAACCAGTCATGCTGAAGGACGTTGCAGGCAGTAGGTCGCTCACCAGTGTTTCCAGACTCTGTCATGTCTGTCACATGTCCGCAGTGTGAACCTGCTTTCATCTGTGAAGAGCACTGGGCACCAGTGGCAAATTTGCCAATCCTGTTGTTCTCTGGCAAATACAAAGCGCCCTGCACAGTGTTTTCTCATAAGCACAACACAAATCCGTGGACAACGGGCCCCCAAAAGACCTTATTGAGTTAGTTTCTAACATTTGTGTAGAAACATGCACATTCGTGGCCTGTGGGAGGTCTTTTGCAGGGCTCTGACAGTGCCCCTCCTGTTCCTCCTTGCACAAATGCCGTGGTAGCGGTCCTTGCTGCACTACCTGAGCCTGAGTTTGGGGGTTGTAGAATATGTCACATTCTACCATGAGTGTGAAAGTACAACCAACATTCAAAAGGGCCAAAAACATCAACCAGAAAGGTTAGGTACTGTGAAGTGGTCTGCAGTCTCCGCCTGCAGAATTATTCATTTATTGAGTGTCTTGCAAATTGTCAATGATTACAAACTGTTGTCTATTCCATTTGCACAACAGCATGTGAAAATTATTGTCAGTATTCCTTCCTAACTGGGCAGTTTTTCAAAGAAGTGTGATTTATCTTAAGTTATATTGTGTTGTTTACATATTCAATTGAGGTTTTTTTTTAGCAATGTATATACATGCTTTTAAAAAAGAGAAAGACATTGTTGGATTGTTGCAAATATCCATGGTAAGCAAGAGGTAATCAGATTGACAGGGTGGGGGAATAAACAGAATCTGTGGTGGGTTTTTTTGTAGTTATAATGCTCACTGCTAGCTAAAGGTAAAGTCTAAACATTTTGTGTGCAGGATGTGTGGGATCTGCACAGACTCTGACAACTGACTCTGGACTAGTATGCACCCTGGATGGATTGAAGGCCAGTCCTAATGCTCTTCTCTTGAAAAGTGCTTATTTGTAGTTGATTGGTCAGCCAAAAAACATGAATAATATCATTAAAGAATAGTAACAGCAGCTCCTTTTAAAACATATTTTTTCTTTTGAACCTTCTTCCAAACATTGTCGATGTGTGAGAACAATCTCGGATCAAGAAAAGGGATGGAGAGAACCAGAAATGATTGAGTCACCTGAGGTTCAGTCATTTGTGTACAGATTACTCAAGTAGGGAAAGAACAGAGATGGGGGGCGCTGGTGCTGAGCTAGTGAATCACTAACAGATGGAGGCCAGCACTCTGAGCTGGATGTGCTTCCAGTGAAGGATGTCTGGGTTGAACGTGTTGATGGCCGAGCCGACGTCCAAAAAATAGCCCCAGGATTTCATTCCTGAGAGGTCAAGTTAATGAAGGTGTTATTACCCATAGTTGGCTGTATTGTCTGCCAATCTTTTTGCCTAATGAGCAGAGAGTGAGATTTGTTGGTGTTGAAGCCTGCTTTTCAAACGTGCATTGGAAGCTGCCATTGTACGCAGGAACAGAAGGATAAGCTG